AGTTTTAAATTTTATAGTTTGTAAAATATTAGTTTAATGTAATAAGGCTTAATATGGTTTATACATATATTATTGGTGTTGGTGATAATATAGTTACAGACTCACTGGAATTATTAATAGTCCTCTTTTGTTAGACAATCTTGATAGAACCGTGTCAGTCTAACCTGAGCAAATACAATGCATATGCTGTGTGTCAAGCCACATATCTGCACTTTGCGTGGGTGAGGACAGGGTTCATGGATGCTTTGTGTTAAGAGTAGGTTAGGTCTGGAAAATGGTGTTGCACCAGTTTTGAGGAATAACTCCTCTATATCTATTTTAGTTCATGTTTTAGTTTTATATTTTTACACCATAGTGTGAACCTTTTGAGTAAATGTTTGGCCAACACAGCTTTAATGCACAACATAATGCAGCAAAGTGTTACTGCAATGCATATCCAATGAAAGTGTCAAGAATCTAATGCAGTTTAAACATTTGTTGACACATGGAAGTCAAGCTAACCTGGAGCTATTGCAAAAGAAGAAAAAATAAGGCCAGCCGTTTGGATGCTGATCTACAAAATAAAGCTTGAAATTTCAGGGTTTCCTTCACACCCTGGTATGAAAAATCATTGAAAATTCTCCCTGGCCCAGAGTGATCTGGAAGACTTCCATGTTTACTGAGCTCATTAACTTTCATGGATGAAGGTACTCTCTTGTGATTTTGGGTCTCCATTATACAGAGCAGAGACAGTAGTTTCATGCAACAACATTTGGTCCACTGTCTCTTTTCCCTTTTTACTATGACACTTCCTCTTAGCTCTATTTTTAGATTTTTTCCCCTTATCCAGAAAAACCAAAGTGTTTATTCCACTCCCATGCCTTAGTGATTAACCTATGCAGACACATGGAAAACACCAGAGCTACTATGGAGACCAGAAAAGCAAGAGAGGAGAGAGGAGGAAAGGAAATGGCTAAAAGTGTTATTGTGGAAAGTTCAAAGTTCATCATCTTCTTATATAAACCAGACCACCTGGGAGCACAAGCTGAAAAACACAATACTCGTTCCTTCTTGCATAGCAGTAATGCAGCCCAGCTATCAGTCAAATCTTTTTTTATGTAGACTTGTATGATTTTTTTTTTCCACATGTATTGTATGCAGCATGTCAAATCTAGACAGACACTTTTAACTAAATGAAATGGGATGGGTACTAAAACAATTTGGCAAAGGAATGAGTAGACTATTAAATGAACCATTTTCTTTGAAATGAACATTATCAAGTGTTTGGAATGTACTCATAATATATCATCCTTTGCAGGTATGTAGTCTATAAATAAAATTTCACAAACACTCCTAAGTTGCATGTTTCTGTAGCTGTGTCCCTGCCAAGTCAAAGATTTTTAGAAAGTGAGTGATTCAATCAAAGGTAATAAAATCCCTTAGTGAGTGATTCTTGATCTTTAATCTAATTAGAAATTGTCTTTTCTGTTTCATGGAGACATCCCGACTGTAACCAACACAGTAACATTGGCCCCAGCTGTGGAATCATAATTACTGTATGAATGCATTTGCAGACTATAGACAACATCTTCAATGATTATATAATCAGAAACCTCTTTTTAAGTTTTAAAACGTCTCACATGGTTTGTGTGACTGACATTCCCATGCCACGCTATGAGAAATATTTCCACGTCTGAGGAGGGAAGGTCTAAACTGAATCCTACAACTACAGCCCAAACTGCCTTTAACTCTCACATAAACACATATTTGCATATCTTTAAATATCTGATTGTACTCAAGACACATCTAGGTATAATCAGTATGCCTCTTGCATACATTTCTGAAGATGCCAGTACTTCTGAAGAAAAAAAATCTAAAGGACCTTTAAATCTATCATCCTTCCTTGTGGCCCCAGCCCTGTAGCAAGAAGAACATGGGGCTAATTTCAACCTCTGTGAAAGTCAATATGCATAGATGCACAATGCAGGAGAACTTGTATCATGACTGAGCACCATGCTACATTTCCAAAACGTATGCCACTGCAAGGGAAAACGTCAGACCAGGGATCATTCTGAGAAGACATCTCATTTTCATGGATCTTCAATCAACTCTTTGCAGAGCAAATAAAAACATCCATCACATGGTGTGTTTAGTATATTCACTGCATCCTGCCTGTCCTGCCACAAATCCTGAAGTGGGGAGAGATCATGCACATCTGTAAATCACGCAGAAGGAGCAAAGGTAGTCATTACCCCAAGGGAACAGCTGTTTCTAGCTCATACATACATACCTCTCGACTTCCAGTACCCTCAGGCGGCCATCAATACTGGCCTGCCCGACAGCTCCTTGCAACACATGGCCATCTCTACCTGAGCCCAGAAGTTAACTGTCAGCACCTGACAAACACACACACATCTGCACAGCTGTAAATACCTGTAATATAGAAACACGTCTGCAATCTGACAGCTCAATTCCGCTCTTTTTCCTTCTTCTGCCCCTACAGTCTTCCTGTTATGGTGTTTGAAACCTTGACTCTGTGGAAGTTTGCTGTGGGACAGTGTTTACTGTAAAACACCTTTGCTTTGAATGTGTGCACCTGGACACTTTTGTTTAAACTGACATATACATGTGCTCACTGGTGTCAAGAAAAGGGAAACAGACAGACTGACAAATTTTGGCAGTGTTGGGTAAACCACTGTGAAAATGTGGCTTTGCAAACTATCATTTACTTCAAAGTGGAAGAAATTAAACTACACCAAAACAATACAAAGAGACATGTAGTTTGGTAAACTAAAGTTACTTAAAAAAAGGTGGTTCAAACTGACAAGTTACATGTGATACAAAACTATAACATAATAAAAGAAAACTTATGTGCCAGCAATAATGTTTTTTTTAATTACATGTATTTCAACACTAAATTTAGTTGAACGGATACTGCAGTCTGTATGATGATTTGTGCCAACCACCGCCATGCAGTGACACTTTGGTAATTTTTTTCTGAAGTATATTTTAAATTTTAATTGTCTCTAACCCCTTGAAGTCAAAGGAGGCACTGAAATTTGTTATTCAGTCACAACTAATCTAGAATAGCTTAGAAGGCCTGACAGTTTTTATTAACTAGTGTAATACTTTATAAACAATTTAATGACAAATTCCTGATGTACAAGAAAATTTAATTTAACCACTTTTCATCCACTTTTAATCTCAAGGATAACCAATATAGAGTAATCTAATTAGAGAGCTTCCACTGTCACACATTTATTTCTTCTTCAGTCCACCTACTGCGAATACCCAAGAACCTTGCACCATACCTGATCTTGTTATGGGTTCTCTATGTGGGTCACTGGGCAGAGGGAAGCACTGTGTGGAAATGGAGTATGTGTATGTGCCTTTGTCTGCCCTTCCTTTGGTATCTTGTAAGGCCACTACGGGGGTCCTGAGTAGACTTTCTTGCTAATTACACCAGTCATGTCAAATTAAGAACTGACTTCCCTGTAATCTGATTTCATTCCTTCTTTCTTTCTCTCCTAGTGCTTCTACCTGCCTGTCTATCGCAGCAAGTCTTTACTCATTCGTTCTTCACCAGCCAGTTATGAAGACCAAGTTAACTTTGTGCACATGCAAACATGCAAATATGAGGTTGCTGTGAAAATAACCAGCAAGAAGAATAATTTGTAATAATCTCATTATGTCACTGACCTGCTGTTGACAAACTTCACAAACAGAAACACTGACAAGTTTTGAAACTAGTCGCTGAGGTCAGTTTGTAGTCTCATCTTTTACAGTGCTAAACTGCAACCAGCTGTCAACAGTGTGTGACCACTGGTGTTGGTTTTATATGTGGTATGTACTGTAGGATTTCTACCAGACACACATCATGTCAGTGTTTTCTCCAGACCTCTTAAAATTCTCATATTGGAATGTTTTGTCCCTGTAAATTATTTAGCCACAGCACCAGAAGAATGAGTGGTTCATGCAAAAGGCAAAAGACAAAAGGTCTTTGTCCAAAGATGCTTTAAATGTACAGTTGCTTTGTATACAGTGCATGCATTTGTGTATGTGCTTCTCCATCAAATTATAGTATATAGCATAATTTTAATGCACAAAAGTGGGTTTAAGCATTTTCTGAATATTTCTAGAACAATGTTGCCAGAAATCTTGTTCTAGTCCACTGCCAGTGTCACTTTGCTGCTTCCTTTTTGGGGAAGTGCAGTTTCTTCTTTGCAGCTGATAAATAAACAATAAACAAGGAGAAAGTTTTGAAATATTTACTGTCTTTGTTAGAGGAAACATTTAGAAATCACTGGGGGGAAACACAGAATGGGAGACTTGAATGATGTTCACATGGACATACTGTATGTTGAGGGTAATGTGAACATAATGAAATGAAGGTTTCTGTAAATGTTAAGGGAATACAATTTCAATCATTTTACCATAGGATCAGTAATTGTTGGTTGTGTTAGTGGAATTAAAAAATACTGATGAATGAAGCATTTGTCTGTACCTTTAAATAGATTTGGGACACATTTTGTGACCTGTGCTTCCTGCAGTGTATGTGTGACTCACCCAAAATCTAATTTAACAATCACTTTATATGATATCTACATTATTATGTAAGTCTCTTCCAGTCAAAGTGGGTTACATAATACAGTACTTGATTATGCCACTTACTTCATCATTCTAGGAAACCTGTAACTTAAGTTTGATCATGAGCATTCATGGTTTCTTCTGTAGATGCACATTCACTCTCTCTATTACATATAAACACACACACACACACACACACACACACACACACACACTTATATTAAACATGAGACCAGCTAGTCCTGAATCATTCTGACATCTGCATACCGTGCACAGGGACTTGTGCTGCTATATCAGGAGAGGCTCAGCTGACTCAACCCCAACCCATTCTGAACCTTAAGTCTGTCACTGCACCTTTGATAAGTTTACTGTGCACTGATTTGAGCACTTCACAAAATGTAAGTAAGCAGGCAATTAAAGGAAAAAGCCTCCAAGACAAATTTATTTAAATACCTCAATAACAGCAATAATGAAAACATCTACTGGATCCTACAGTACAATACATGTGTGAAACATTTGTACAAAAATATGGTTTTCAGCCCAAACATAACACATGATTATTATTATAGTTATACAGATCAATAATAAGACTAAACAGAGCATATTCTATCTCCTGTACATGTTATATAAATATTTACAGTTATTCAACATGCGCTTTCATTGCCATGAGCAAACTACTTCTTTCTTTCTTCTCTTTTTATTTACCTATTCCACCATATTTCCACATCATGAAATGATCACCTCTGACCATCGGTTTGGGAAGACACTTTGTTTTCTTGGAAATAATAATAAGAATTTTGTACTTTACTTCTAGAGTTCTGGATAATTAAATGGAAGATTCAGAGAAAATCACTAAACAGAATTTTTCCTCTGAAACATTTGAAATTTTCTTACATACTGTAGTTGACCCATTAAGACACCACGTGCCCTCAGACCAATACTCCTTTCAATTGCTTGTTGAAATACAGCCGAATTATTTTGAATTATTGATCTGTCTATTTTGGTGTTGGGCTATGTTCACATTACCTGCTGAAGTGGCCCAAATTTGATTATTTTCCTCCAAGTGACTCATATCTCTTCTTTTCATGGATGCATGAACAACCCAATTTCATTGCAGATCTGGGCCACTTGCATATGTTGTCTTAAATCCAATTAATTTCTGATCAATGCCAGAACACTCAGATCACAGTTCATGTGGAAATAAATGTAAAGGAAAACAACAACAGCAACGGGGTTCACTGGAGAGACAAGCACATTTTAAACTTGTACATTTAGGGAGAAACTTCTACTCAAACCAACCTAGAAGGAACACATCATAATTGAGCATTTTCTGAAAAGATTGCACAGTTTCACTGTCACACACACACACACGTGAGGCCAGATATATGCTCCTTATAAAGATGGATGTGAACGACAGTATCAACACAAAAACATCAGATCTGACATAAATGGAACTGAGCATTAAGGCCTGTAATGTGAACATAGCATTAGTTTTTCATGCTCCATTAACTCTGAGTTCGACTTTGCTTGCTCATGGGCTGATGTGTCATTGCGATTTTGCAGTTCTGTATCATGTCTCCTTCATTGCCCAGTAGGTGAATATACACCGCTAATCCTGATTCTTCATGATGTATTTCTTTGACTTCATCCCTCACTTTTCTGCTGTCCTCACCACCGTCCTTCTTTCTCTCTCTTCTTCCCTCTGTCTGTGATGTCTCCTGTTCCTGTTCTTCTTCATTTCCTGGATGTGTTTCCATTTGCCAGCTCCTAAGCCTCGTCCCCGTGCCCTTAATGGCCTCTTCTCCAGCCATAATGAATCACAGTACTCCTCTAAAGCAGTAAAGGGAGAGCTCATTGCTCTCATGTAGTCTTTATAACGCTGACGAGACTCTGCACCATGTCGTAGCTCAACCATGGAGTCTTCAAAGGGCTTGGGCTTGCCTTCTAGCTGGCCATGTGTAACAAGTTGCAAGGTGAGACGGACAAGATTGTGGGTGAAGTGTGTGTGCTCCCGAGCTAGGCAGATATACACACCAACATCAGAGGCTTGGAGGGAACGAATCAGGAGACCTCGATCAGTTTGAATGACACGATCATCCAGCCTAAGCTGCAAAATTATAAAAAATAAAAAAGAGAGAGACAGAGAAACATTATCTGGTGTGGAGAAGATCTTTAGACCCATAAGAAATGTGAGCAGGTAGCAAGGACAAAGAAAGGTGTTTGGCAAAGTGTTTGTGTGGAGTGTGTTGGTGGGAGAACACGTGCTTGTCATTAAGGTGTGAAGGTAAGTATTGTGCTAATATTTATGGTCCTCTCTTTTCATTTGGCATCCACCATAATTAATCAAATGGCATGGCTGCTGTCAGGCATAAAACAACACATAAGTTCAGAGTGTGTGCGTGTCCATGCACAAGAGCATACCTCCCACAGCCGTGCTCCAACCCCTCCAGTAGTGTAAAAGATAAGGCAGCTAGAGGAGGAGGCCCAGGTGTAAATCATAAATACATGCCTGTGTGTGAGTCTTGAACACATAACCCTGTCTGCATGTGTGCATGCTTGTCTATGTGTGTTAGTGTGTGTGTGTGTGTATAGCTCTGTGGTAGTTCTGACACTGATGATGTGTTGTCCTGCCAAAGACAGACCCACAGAACTCAGACTCTCTTTGGGCCTTGACGCTGTAGACTGTTTCCTTCACATTCTGGTTTCCTGACACACTTGACTGCTATATATATTTGAAAAATGTCAAATCTTACCTATGCAAAGCATCTGTGGAGACAATTTTTTAAAATAATTCAATTAGTATTTATGTATTTATGTGTAGGTCTTTGAAGCTGTCTTCCCACAGCCATTACATGTATACTCACGCAGATGGTCCATCTTTATTTGTGTCTATGTGTATTTGGACATGTAACAATAAACTCTTGCTAGGAATAACAACGCTGAGGTCTGTTTGCAGAAACTTCGATGCATATTTGTATGTGTGAATGAAGAATAACCCAATTTTTAATTTTGCTTTGAGTTAATCACACTTATCACGTAAGTGTTCGTTTAAGAACTCCCCTTGCTTTCAAGAAGAATGCGCTTTGTTCTAATGAACACTGCACATGAAACTGAACATCATCCTTGTTTTTCTCATTGCTGGTTTTTAATGGATCATCGTTCCGGACTCCAGGAGGTGAATTCACAAATAGGCACAATCAGAAACGTATACAGACACAAATATGCTGTGAGAAAGACGGAGGTCTCCTCCAGCTCACATCTTTTAATAGTTGACTTTTATGAGGGGATAAAAGGAGGAGACTGTGTATGAGTCTATGAGGAGAGTAAATACTGGAGTGGGTTGCAGGTGCTGTGAACAGCTGGCTGAGCATGCCTTTATCAAAACCCATCTGGTGGGTAGAAAGTGTAGAAAAAACACAAGAAAACTGTGGGAAATCGTGGCGATAACATGAACAGTATGAGGAATCAGCTCGGAGCATGAAGGCAGGAAAAGGCAGGAAATGAGCAGAGATTAAGGAGGGGTTGATGAGGGAGGCTGAGGGAAAGAAGAGAAGAAGGGATGGCAGACAGGGGGAACAGAGAGGGAGGAAAAGCACAGGGATTCAACACTGCATGCACAGCCGTGAAGCAGGTAGACTACCAAGTCCAAAAACCCAACTACAGTAAAAGAAGGGGGACAGTAAATCAAAAGCCATTTAATTTATACTGCCAAAGAAAAACACACACTTCTATTAATATATAAAACTGAAGATTACCACCTTCATGAAGGGAGGATTTATTATGGAACTGTTGAGCAGCATTGAAAAGAAGCTATGCTGCCGCTTATGAGTGGATGGATTGACTTCTCATAAGCTTTCTAACGATGTCTAGGATGTTGTAGCTGCACTTAGGAGAGGTGCGCTACAGAGAACAATATCGTTGTGGAGCGCCTGGTGTCCCACAGGTGGGACAATGTTCAGTAAGACTGTAAAAAAAATATTTTGTCATGCCAGTAAATTGAGGCAGTGGCTCACTTTACATTTTCATTGGCAGAGAAGACAGTGAGATACAATTTCAGTCACCTAGACCTGAATTTTCATGCATATACAACATTCTTGGATACTTTGGAATTATAAATACCATTGAACTTGCCATTAATCCATCATATTATGCACATTCTGTTGTATTTTATCAGCTTCTGAGTCTATCAAATGACAACCCTAAAGGAGGAATAACTCCTGTATTTGCTCTTTCATCACTTTTTCTCAAGTTCAGTAGGTCACATATCATTGCATGCCTAGACACACAAACACAAAAAACTCCCCATTGCGGTCATTACCCCAAAACACATGGCTGTCCCTAGGGAGCACTCTGTTATGATTTGCTCTGTAGGGGATAATAAAGAAACATGCACATGCACAAGGCACACATATATCCATACACAAAGCCAAAACCACAGGACTTTCTGCTGTGCTGGCCTGTAAAGGAACACATGGGCGTTTAGTGGCCTCTGCACCTGTCACTGTGTTTACATTTACGCCTGAGAGAGAGGACAGGGGACCAGTTGTAGAAGTAAATAAGTGTAGCGAGAAGTAGGGGGAGAGACCAGGAGTGAATGGGTTGAGTGGTAAGCAGCCTACTTGCAATAGGTGAAGAAAGTTTATAGGTTTAGAATGGCAGAGAGCAGAGCACCGAAGTGCTGGGTAAGCGGGTCTCTGTTATATCATTTTGGAGACAAGTGTCATCATCAGTGACAAACACATTATGTCTCTACGCAGTTCTCTGTTCACCAACCCTGTCTCCCAGGATCATGTGATACAGTTATTTTGGTCCACCTTCAACTGGGACATTTTCAACACTTGAAAACTTACTTGAGTTTTTAACTAGACTGCTAATTTTAGTCTTAAGATTGTGTGAAGTCATATCATACAAGTTTGATTTGTGTAATTAGTCGTTTTCTGAGCTAAATCTTAATTCTAGCATCAATACTTAGCTGTTCAACAGACAAAGGTTAAGGGTAACATGCAATTTTTGTTCATTTTTTCCCATTTTTCATGAGAGAAAGATGACATCCCATCATTCCTCACCTTCCTCAAAAACAGAGGAACTTAAGAACATTCCAGAAAACCCCGGACACTCATAAGCATCAATATTGGCCTTGCTCAAGCAACCGATGAGACCCTGGATTGCTCCCTTATTACCTATAATTCCACAACAGATGTGATTTTTGGGTTTCCAACCCTGCATAGAGGCTGTGTATGGTATGCAAGCACTGTTTTCATCTTCCCAGAGATAAGCAGGAACTGCAGTGATGTGATCTGTGGCATAAACAGTGTTTGACAGGTTCAAGGCTCAGACCTCAAAGTCAGTGAGTTTGAAGTGAAGTATGAGGTTTTTGGAAGCTTTGAAGTAGTTATGTAGGAAATGATTATTGCAGTGACAAAAGCCTGTCTTAAGCTCTGTAACTTCCCTGCTTTGTGACCTGAAAAAATGTAATCCCTCAGGTGCTGTAAACTGAAGAAAAGCAAAAACAAGGTCAACCTTCAGACGTCAGAGAGAGAGAGAGAGTGGGTAAACGAAAAGACACATCAGTGTTTGGGAGGTGTGTGTGTGTACATGTATGTGGATGAGCACACTCTCTAACCTCCTCCCTGCGTTCAGATCCAGGTCTCTGTATGTACCACTGGATCTGAGACTGTTGAGATTTGGGGATACACTCAAGGAAGGTTGAGTTGCTCTGCACTCCATAGAGGACCCTCTCCTCCACCTGTCCCCCACCAAGACCTAAGGAAAACAGATCTGTTATTGATCCAAGAGTCTTTTCTCTGGTTCTAAAAAAAGGGAATATAATGCAGGTTCCACAGTGAGCGGTTGAGTGAGAAATAATGTGTTAACTGGATGTGTTTGCAGCTTGCAAAGAAAAAAAGCTTTCTTACTAAGAGAGGATGATTTTTGTAAAAGAACAAAGTCTACCTACTGTCTTCTATGTCCCAGCACTGACTGGAAGGGTCTCCATGCTTGATGTCCTGTCTCCTGGCTCGCCTGGAGAACAACCACATACAGTTTAATAATGTTACTAGTTCATGATCTCTGATTCTGCGAATTCATAGTAATCTCTACAGTGGAACAGTTTCACAACCTCACCATGCAACATCTGCAAATTTAGATGATCAAGTTAGTGAACATAAGATTTTTCTGATGACCTCTGATTACTGGTAACCTGTATTGTCTTTCTGTCTGACATGTGTACTGCAAACACAAATGCACTACAAAACTTCTCAAGACATTCTGTCTACTACTGAGTCTTGTGATATTCCAATAAAAATCGGTTTATTTCAGGAAACTTTCTACAACCATAGGCCAGTTTCTTGACACTACTGCAAAGTGCTGTGCGGTGTCTTGTTTCAAGATGTTGACATTTCTAAAATGTGTGAAACAGGGGAAAGAGCAGAGGAAGAGAAAGTGAAATTCCCCGCCTCATAGGCAGATGGGTATTTGTTTCCTACAAAAATGTAATAGTAGAAAAAGCTAGATAAATCAAATGTTTGGCCTCTGGCTTGTTATTGCTCACTTGGGCTCCTTTTCGATTATACTGCTTTCACCTCCAGCATCTCCTGTTAAGTTCTGTGTGATGGCACATCTGTAGCCTTCACTCACTGACAATGTGGAGATCAGGTTTCAAAGAGCCCTTGATACCAAACTCTGGAGCTCCACTATTCCACAAACCACAACAGTATCACTGTGGGCCAATAATAAGGTATTTGTCCGCTAACTGTACAGTACATATTCTGTAGAGCAAGTGAGCACACAAACAAAATGGATCAAAACCACAATGCATTAAAAAACCACAGAGGAAGTGAATAAAACCAAAATGAAAAAACTGTGTGAAACATATCTCCTTAACATCTTTACCTTATAGTAATTATTGTCCCTGTTTCTTTAAGAGGTGATAAAGTGGGTGATCTGAAGAATTGCATAGTGTAGTTAAATATTCTTAAATATTAAAAACACATTTAATAATTTATCATTTTAAATTATTAAGGTTTTATCCATCTGTGTGTGGAATGTTGTTGACAATACCAACCCTTCAATTTCAGTAAATAAAACACTTGCATTTAAGTCACAGTATGTCATTATTTTCAGCCATTTTCGCATTTATTTTTACAATAGACACCCCATTGTCTTTGCATTCATTTAAAGAGAGTTACAGATTTGAACATTAATAATGTTTTGTTTTTATGTATACATCTTCAAAGTCTGCAAGAAATAAAGTGGCAGGTTCTCATGCTTTGGGCAATGCTACATAATGAAGGCACACTGCATTTTCAGGAGTTTAGCCTACCTCTTGGATGCAGGGATGTATCGTGCGCATGTATGTCCATCCCAGGCACAGTAAGGGTCTCGTGCCAGGCAGCATTCAGCACAGGCTTGGCCATATAGATGACATCTGCTGAGTGAAACCTGAGCTAATCCTTTACTTGAACCCACATAGAGCTGTTGCTAAAATGAAACACAACATTCTGTTTGAGGGGAGGTGAATATACAGATGTATTCAAAGTTCTAGGTTATTATCCATAAAGAAAATGAAATCAGTTAGTGCAAAATGTGCACATATATTAAGTACAGAAACTGAAATGATCTCTCTCGTGTCATTCTCATCTACAGTATGTAAAAAGTATGTGAATTAGTGGGCCCTGGGACAACAGGTTTGCTCTGAAGGAAAATTAAGATATTAGATATTAGTTACATTATTCTTTATTCAGGAAAATGTCATCAGGTTTCCTACTGTGAAATTATGTTCACATCACAAATATTCAAGGATTTCTCACTGTGAAGAATTCTGCCAAATGTGGCTACGGAGCTGCTCTTGCCTGCACTTGTCTGAAGTTACGGAGATTCCTAAACACAATCTCCAAACATCCACTGGAAACACTAGTGAGCATGCACATACACACTCACACAGGTCAAACACTGCTGGAGATTAATGGAAGCTGTGATTGGGGTTGAAGTGTGTACTGACACCTCTGACCCTTAGATAATGAAGCCGGGGAGGGGCTCAACTAAAAAATAGAGAAGACTAAGACTAAAGAGAGAGAGGAAAATGTTGTACATGAATGAAATGAGGATTAAAACAGTATGCCTTGCACCACTGACTGCATGTGGCATGAACAAAGTCAGAGAGCTGAGAAGACATGCAGAAATAATAAAGAGCAAGAGAATAAAATGGATGAGAAAGAGGCCACACCTGTTTAGAAGACATCTCCATACTGAGAATGGGAGTGGGAACCTACAAAGAGTCAAACAAACAAACTTCACCAGCTTCAGCACATCAATAAATATACACTGCATACATTGGAGCTGTTTGAGTAAAAACAACAGATGAGCTTGTTGATTAATAGCTCAAAAGGTCCATCAGTATTGGAGAGTTTGTATAATAACGGCACTATGAATATTTCACAGTTTAATGTCCCACAGAGGACATCTAGAGAACAGTTGGCACCGTCTATCAAAAAGCAGTGCTTGCAGTGGAAAAATGCAAATGTGCCAGTGTGTCTGTATTTGTGAATTTGTGTGTGTGTGTTGTGAGCATGCAGTGCACAAAACCTGGAAAATTTGAAGTTCTTCAAGCACCACTTCCTCTGTTGACCAGTTCTCTTGAGTGATGCTCACCACCTTCAGAATTGAGCCAGCATCTACATCAGAAAGTGAGTCAGCAAGGAGACGAATGTAAACCATTCAGAAGTGAATAAAGTAACCTACACAGGCATACGTATTCCTTTCACATACTGAAGTTAAGTATTTCTAGTTCATACGCATCCATCTCGAAGGCACAAAAAGTACAACACTGGACCATTCTTATATTTTAGATTAACAATTTTTACTATACAATAAGTGTCAAATATACAACAAGTCCGTGGTCACACCTCAGATAGGATACTGAAGCCAAGTTAATGCATACATTCATTCATCTTTCTAATAACAAGAACAGGATCAGCTAATTCTAAGACTGAAGACAGATCATAGTGATCTAGTGCCATCTGCTGGTTCTATAGATTTGTAAGAGGTCATTAGGAAGAGGTGTGCGTGTGTCTCACCTGTTCCCAGAAACATGACTTCATACTGTCCATCCTCTGCTAAAACTCTGTCCACCACAATCTGAGTCAGGGCGTAGTCCACGTGAACGCGTGTGAACACAGGCCGACCAGTCACGGGGTAGACAGAGTGATACATCAGAGGGTGGAATCGAATGAAACTGATCACTTCATCCGGGAAGTCTTTGGTGGTTTTGATCCTTGAATCATATGTCTTGCTGGGACACTGAAGGGCAGAAAAACAAGGTCAATCTAACTCCAAATTGTTCACCCAACTTACTTATTTAGTTTGTTAGTTAGTCCCCTTTCAGCATGAACTGGCGACCAGTTTCTCTCCACCAGTTTACTGGTACATGGCTCCCTCTGGTGGTCAGATAATGAACTGAAAGAGTCAGAGCCTATCTGGAACACTTGTGTCACTCATGCTCCCTCTTTCTGTGTAGTCCTATAGCTCAGAGACTGGTCACTCAGCTGTGTATTTGTAGCTTACATCATACAACCTTTTGATTAACTGTTTAAAACTAAAGAAGAATCTGATTAACATGTCAAATAAGCTCAGGTTTCATTAGGTTGTGTGTGCAGATATGAGCATGCATACCCTACAGCATTTAGAACAGTTCACCCTTGAATCTACCAAGGTAAACTTAAATTAGGCCATGTTTGTTATTTTATAATTAGCATGAACATTGAGGATTCTTATCATTTAATTTGTGATGAAAATTTGTAGCTAGTACAAGACTGTGTCCCTCAGTGGGCAACGCACCATCTGTAGCTAGTACAAGACTTTTTTTTCTGTGTCCCTCAGTGGGCAACGCACCATTCCAGGACGTGGATATGGTATCCTCCCTTCATATTCCACCCATCGGTGGTCAGGCCCCTCCTTGTGAGCATAAGGTCCTTTAAACACAGCCCTTATATCTGCCATACTGTACACACACACTGCTGAGCCACGAAAAATGGAGCTGTGAAGGAAATGGAAACAAGAAACTAGATTAAATATGCAGAAGAAAAGTAATGATGATGTGATGAATTCTGAACTTACCTGGAGGTGGTGAAGATTGCATACACTGTGGGGTTTTTGACATCTCTGGTAGGAAGCAGAAAGATGTCCTCTTGAAAAAAGGAGAGGGAAACAACATAAATCTTGTTTGTTTTTCTTAGATTTATCTGCATGGAAAAAACTTTGTTGCAACTCCGTCTGTATTTTTATTTTCACTGTGCAACCACTCCATTATATTAGTAAAATTCTGTCCCTAAAGTGCACTCTGAAGGTAGTTAGTGAAATAGAAAACCTAGTTTGGGCCTTTGGCAAACTTTTTTATTCTCACAGTCACTTACGGAGCTCATCAAAGTGTGTGTCAACTCCATCTCGTCCTGGGATAGAACACACAAGCCTGGCTTTGAGGAAGGTGGTCCACTTATTGGTCAAACTTCTCAGCCCACCCACATCATTCTGAAACACAACCACATATACTCTAATAAAGCCATAGTCAGGAAGGTGCAGCTGTCCAACATGGCCAAAAGACAACTGCAATTAATAATATACACTTTAAGCACAGTCTGGCTGGAATCTACACACACACATGGACTTACCCACAGAGACTACACAAAATCGCAGCCTGCCTCTGATTTCCTGGACTAATTAGGAAAATAAACAGGTGAACCACATGTCTCTAGTATGGATCTGCTTATTTAACTAGCACAAAGGAGACCTTCTTGTTAGTATAATGACAGTCGGGAGTAACTGAAAAGAGAGGAAAAAGAGGAAAACAGAGAGAGGGAAGAACGTTAAAAAAAAGAAGAGCACCATGAATGTGTAGCACTAAAATCAATTGAGGCTACTGATTAAAAATGCAGGTTTTATCTTACCATCTGAATTGCAGTTTTAAGTAGGAACCTTTGATTGAACCATACCAAGTACATTCAAGTGCACCTTTTTGTCATGCATAAAAAACTTAAGAGTGCCCTATTAAACCTGGCCGGTAAGTGGTATGGAAAAGACCATTATGGGTCAACACACACAAAAACACACTTGTGTTTAAGAGACCAAAAAAATGTAAGCACTTAATGAGGATGTTTCACAGTGGTGATAGTCTTCAAAGAGGGCTGAAGTGAAGTGCTCTCCTTTTACATGCAAGAAAAACACACTTATAGATAATGAACATGAAGGAAAACTACAAAGACCAAGAGAGAGCAACAGCTAAGAGAGAAAGAAAAAGAGAGGGCTGTAATCCCAAAGAATCTCCTTCCAGTCGGCCTTACAGCTTACTCCCAAGTCATAAATATGCTGAAAACCCTTCTCTAAGAATGTAGCAATAGACCTTCAAGCACTAATAGCAAAATGCTGCATGGGCTCGTTCCATTTGGAGGGACTAATGGAACACTGGCTAGTATACAAAAGGTCCCCAATCTGTCTCGCTTCTGTCTTCAGTGTCCATCTAAGCCTACAGTTATTCTGACATGCTGTCCATGACCACTGACTGATGGTTTTAGCTCCTGTTCCAGTAGAGACTAAGTCTTCTGACTGTAAATTCCATTTAAAGGGAAAAACATCTCCCAAATTACTATAATATAATGTAAAAGGACTACATTGTGAGCTCTATTACTGTATATAAATTAAAATATTCAATTAAAATAAATCTCTGAGATTTGAATGCTGCTGCTACAAAATCATCTTTCTTTATCACCTTTTAATAGAGAATCTTCAAATCTTCTGAGGAAAAAAGAAGATGACAATGAGATCTTTCAACTCCATCAATCTCGGGGACAATCTAGACAGCAGCACTAAATGATCCGTCAGCAGAGCACAAAGGGGTTAAGACCATGATTTATTGCCCCTGACAGCAGCACCCCACAATTCTTTCAGATGACTACAAAAGAAGAATGATTCAGCAAGACCTCCTCCTCAGGGACATAAAACACTTCTGTAGTGGTCGACACAAAGATCCTTATCCAGTCAGAGTACTATAGGAGTTATGGCTCTCCCCATACACTGTAAGGAGTCTTACCGTCTTTCTCTCCTAGTCCCCCTACATCATCAACTCCAGGTCAACCTTCGAAGTGCTGTTTCTCTCGTTAGCAAGTAAATCTCCAGTATCCTGTTTGGGATGTTCTCCTGTGTCTCCCTTCTCTCTCTGCCTTACCTGTCCACCAGTCTGTTACATCCTCACCTCCTCTCCTTGCCTCTATATATCTCCCACTTTCCACACCTTTTGTTGTGTAATATCTCACCTTACACACACGAGCCACCCGGGACAGGATGGTCTTGTCATTGCCCTCCCATGATACCTCACGGAAGAAAAAGTATATTTTATCGTCATCTGGGTTGTAAGTGTCTGCAATGGGATGAGCAGATATAAACCTGGCCTCTGAAGACAGAGTGATGAAAAGAGAGAGAGAAAGAGGAGAGAGCGTCAAAATTCACTAGGTAATGGTTTTGCCATGCCCTGCAACCTTGGAGTGGCATTAACACTACACTTAGTACATGTTAATTTACAAATCTTGCTGTATTTCTACAGAGAGCTTTGATTTGTTTACCATAACTAAGTGGCATGTACATAAACGTACAACTTGTCATACAGTTCGCTACATGGACTAATACTGTACAAAGTCAAAATATTTAGGTTACATAAAAAGCAGTTTTGTTTACTTTCAATGATGTTCAGCCTGTTTGTTAGTATCTATTATACAACAGCTTGGCATAAAAATGAACCTTTAGCTAGAACACCAGGGTTTAACATCTACCCTAATCATGTGTCCTCAGTGTTTGAGTTGTAAAATACTCATTATGTTCACCAGCTAGTTGTTATCTTTGTCTGCTGTTATAGTGGGTGTTGGTAAGGAGCAGTTAGATGTAAGTAGTAGTAGCAAAAGTACAATATTTGCCTCTGAATCTAATATGCTTCTGGACTCTACTTGTGTGGATTGTTGAAGCAAATGCCAATAATTATTAGGAATTCATATTTTAGCATTTGACAAGAGAGCATTAGAACAAGGAAAGAAACAATACATGATATAGGAAATGGCACTGAGGAAAAGGACACAACACCACATTGCAATCAGTGACTTGATTCAGAGGGGAACTAGTCCAAAGGCTTAAGTGTTGCAGTGACATTACATCAACATTAGCTCGACCCTTAGAAGCTGAGCCAAACACCAGAGGGTGATCCCCCCAGCTGTCACAGAATAATGTATAACTGCTAACAGACTTGACAGAAGGTCATTGTTAGTCCTGCAGCACTGGAAAGAGGTTCCACAGGCTCACGGGAACAAAATCTCTGCTAAAAATTATGTGCTCTTCCTCCACATGCCCAGTGCCAACACAGACTCTATGCACACACTGACAGAGAGGAGGAGAGACACAATTCCTCCAAAGATCTCTGGCTGTGTAGCTGTGAAATGTGGAGACCACGTGTAAGGATTTAGATTGTGGTGACAACAGTTGATACATAACAACCCATCAGTGACTAGAAAGCACTTGAGATGGAGATATATACAGAGAGAAAACTCCCTTCTCAGCGATGACCATGCCCCTGTGTGTCTGGCTAGATGGTTGTATGAGTAAGACTGTGAACTTTGCGGCACACTGTAAACTCTCCTGTAGGTGTGGTCCCTGTTCAGCTATGGCATTCATATAAAAGTTCCAGCTAAATGAATAAGCGTGCTGTTTCCTCTTTGCTGGAATGTCAATATCAGTCTTCAGGAGACAGAGGGTCCCTTTGTATCAGCAGAGAGACTGGACGTTTGGAGAAAAAGCAATAAAGGTTTGAGTGCACTCAGAGTTTTAATGTGGATCCCATATGTGCAAGCATGTGTGTACCATTGATCCAGTAGTCTTCAGAAATGTCTGTGCGTATGTAGTGCTGATCAGGTGGAGGGCCAAGAGAACGTGTGAAAGTTGTATCTTTGCCCAGAAAGTCTGAAGATGTTCCCGCATACAGGTACTGATCTGGACCAGTTACAGACAGAGATCAGTCAGTCATGATGTTAAAATAGTTAGAAAGCAATCAGCACATATAATTACAGTACAATATTATACATACAACTAAAATTGCAATAATGTATTTTTACAATTCTGTTTAATATGTTCACCGCAAAAACATAGCACAAAACACACTTGAGTAAATTTACATTTTTGTTCCACCACTCCACTGGATGACCTCAGTGAACCCAGACACAAAAATGCTGACTGAGAAAGATTTCAAGAAACAAACATATAAAAGAGAGATAAGGCTCAAATACACTTATTTACAATTTTCTGCCAAGTAACTTTGTTGCTGCCTGAGATGCCTGCTTGCCTTTTTCTTGGCCAGCTATATGAACATACAGTGGGTACGGAAAGTATTCAGACCCCCTTAAATTTTTC